CCTCCTGGGGCCCCGCGCTCTCCGTGGGCCCGGCCTGCCGCCCGAGAGCGGAAACCTGCCTGTTGCTTTGTCTTCTTCCCTAACAGTTTTCCCAGCCCGAGAAAAGTGAGAGGCGCTTTCCCTGCTGTTTCCTCTCAGGAAGGGCCGTGTGAGGGGAGCCGCGAGCTGGGCGCCGTCTCGCCGGGTCCCGGGAGGCGACGCGGAGAGCCGGGCGAACACGGGCCCCCGCATCCCCTTGGGGTCCCGGGGCAGCCGAGCAGGGCGTCCGTCGGCGTCAGGGTTAGGGTTTGTGAGCCTCTCGGACCGGGCTTCCCGGGCAACGAGCCGCCGCCGGTGCCTTTGGTCCCAGGGACCAGTGACCCATTGAAGGTCCATTCCCCTTTGAGGTGGATCCGCCCCGAGGACGGCGCTCCCTCCCATCCACCCCGCAGCCTTGCCCCGGGACTGTCCCGCACCGAGAGCGCGTGCCGGGGGACAGGGCACTTAAAACTGCATTTTCTATCGGAAAAGCCACCGACCGGCACCTTTCTTCTCTGCCCCTTGATCTGTGCCGCAGAGGAAAGCGCTGGAACGGCGCCCTCCTCTGGTAAAGGGAGAGGGGGACCTAAAAGCCACCCTTTGGATCTGTAAAGTCCAAGCACCTGGAGGCAGACACCCTGGACAGCTGCACAGTAGTCGCATGTTTCTCTTACAGCTTTATTGTTCCAAAGATTAGTCTTTTTCAAGTCAGTAAAAGATGCCCAAATGAAGAGAAGTGACTAACTTGGCCAAGCTTAGAGTTGGGGGTGGGATCAGGTACCCTGGTGGCCTCGGGCTGCCCGGTGAGCTTACTTGCTCTCTCGGTCCACTGAGCGCAGCAAGATGCAGCAAGGCCACATGAGTCGCCTACTTTTGCTTTGACTGCCCCATCCACATCTGTCAAAGTCAGTCCGGGGCACCCGCCAGAGGAACCAGACTGAGGGAGTGGGTGCATTTATGCAAATCCATTCTGACAAACGACCGCAGCTCGTGCTCCCCCTGCTAGAGCAGCAATACGAGCACGTGTTGAAGCACCCCAGTCACTTGGGCATATTTCCCGTTTATGCATGTTCCTTAACCCTTACATAAATACCCTGCAGAGACAGTCCCTGTGTGCCTATTCCCAATAAACTCCTCCCTTGCTTCAACCTTAGGGTGGGTCTGATGATTTTGGTGGCAAAAAATCAGAAGTAAGACCAGGTACAAAATGTAATTACTACCCTGAACGTCGAGGACTGGCCTGGTGGGCTTTACCTGGAAAATTAACCAACAACTCATAAACCCAGACGTAACTAATCATATAGGAGGCAGGGCGGACCTAGATTTACATGAGCTTACTAGTTAAGGGATTTGGAAACAGACACCTATAATCTGAGCCTTTGTGTCCTCCATTATAAAATTGGGTTAATAATGCCCTGCAGAACTGTTATTAGCATGATAAATTATATAAAGTTCCTGGCCCGTTGCGAAGGTTCGGTAAAGAAGCATTTTGAAAGTTAGGCAACAGAGATGTGTTTCCCATTTTCATCACAAAGGGAGTTGTTTATTTTCCTCCCTGAAGCCAAAATGTTTTAAGATTTTACTTAACAAAGCTGATCACATATATTAAATCATTTGTTTTTCCAAGTTTAAATCATTGAAGATTAAATTGTTAGAAGTTCTGATTAGCATAAATTAACCTGTGTTACCAGTAATAAGTTGATAAAGCCAGAAGCAAATCAAGTAAATGTTGACATCTCATTTTGCCAGCATATATCTTGTGTGTAAATATTTTGTTAGGCTTTGGGAAATATTGAAAATGGAGTAAAAACCCCCATTTATGCTACCCTAACCCCCAGAAATCCCAGGAACCCAGCTCAACTGATCCCTCTAAAAGAGGCCTGGGCTGGTGTATATTTATCCAATACCATATTCCTTCCCCAAATCTTCCCACGAGCTCTAGTGTATATTGTGTAGAAAGAAAGAAAAACTATATAGTAGGCAAGACATTAGATACTGGAGGTCAAAAGAAGAAATGAAAAGGAAGGTGAAATTCTATCATGTATTATTCATGCATACAGTTAATCCTTACTATTTCTGAAGGCCACTGAAAAACCCAGATTATAAAATATTTATTTTTTGGTACAAAAGCGAAAATTTACTTAGAATGAAAAAAGAAATCTCAAATACAAATTTCTAAAAGTTGGACAAATCCCATGAACATCATCAAATCCAGAAAAATCACATAATATTTTTATCAA